TGTTACCAACATGGATACTTTGCTGGACTCTGAAAAAATGAAGGAATACAACACTTAAAAAAATGTCTGAGTGCCCATCTACAGAGGTCCCAAGGCTACATCCATGTTTGACCCATTGATGCCATTTTATTTTCAAAGCCACACATTCACACCACGCAGTCTCTACATTCAGGTTCATTGCTGGTTCCTGCCGCGCTGACACTGATCCCTGGTGAAATCTCACTCTTGCAGTAGAGACATGTCAAACGCCTTATGTTTGCAGTTGGCCTTCTCATTTGGAGGCTGAAAGCACAGCCTGGGGGCCAGGATGAGCACGGGGTTACTCTCTGTCTCTCTCTGTCTCTGTCTCTGTCTCTCTGTCTCTCTGTCTCTCTCTCTCTACACACACACACACACACACACACACACACACACATCTTTCCTAGGAAATGTGTGGTACCATGGATTGCCCTCTGGATGGGTTTCACCTTCTGTTCCATTGCTCTTTACTATTGGAAACATGTCCTGAATTCTGCATGTAAGTGACTGTCATTTTTCAATTATCAGTTTTGGTATAAATTTTAGTATGTTCGTTTAAACTTTCTAGAGTTGTCACATTTTCCATAGACAGTAGAGAGTTCTAGTGTGGCACCAGTCTACATCAGAAATGTTCTGTTGATCTTACCAGTAAAGCTATTAACTACCTCAATAAACGTGTCAAAGCTTGGAAACGAGGGGCCCAGGGTTTTTGTCCCATTCGCCATCTGTCTCTGTCACGGTGCTCAGCACCACTTGTATACACCTGACAGTAAGAGTCAGCCTCGTCCTCGGGCTGCAGCGCAGAGATGAGCAGGAGCCCTGCATTGGCCGAGGCATCTTTGGACCCAGAGAAGCATCTGGGGACCCTGGTGCTTATCAGAGTCTAACCTGAACCTCAGGAGGTACCTCAGGGGAGGGCTCCCTGGCTTCTGCAGTTACCAGTATATGCCTTTACCACCTACACTGATGTCACTCTCAGGGTGCAGGTGTGTCTGGCTGATGCTCCCAGAGATGCAGAGAGGGAGGGCAGCTGAGTCAGCACAGGCTGGAAGAGGCACCCTGCAGACACAGACACATCAGATGAGGAGAAGGGACAGGAGGCAGCTACTCGGGGACCTGAGCCAGAAGGAATTCCTCAGGCTGGGATGGGCCCTGATCTCTGAGGCCTGTCTTACCTGTGCAGAGAGAGGGGAGCATGAGGAGGGCAGGGGTCCAGGCCATGGTGCTCACAGCCGCTGCTCACGACACAGAGCTGGGGCTGGGCTGCCCCACTCCTCTCTTATGCCTCCCCGCTGGCGCCACAGAGGAGGGGCTGTCACGCAAATGTGTCCCCACCCACTGCCTCTCCCCCATGACACCTGACAGGTCTGGGGCCCTTGGACCCAGGGAACCTGCCTGATGTACTAGTTTCCCCCATGAGTCGGGGCGGGGAGGAGGCAGCTTCCAGGACCACACACGGGCCACGTGCAGGGGACTCGGCCAGGCCCAGAGAGGACACAGCTGCCCCCTCCCCAAAGGAAGCAGAGCTGGGCCTCCGGCAGAGGAGGTCTGCCCAGCTGGGCGCCCCTGTCCTGCCCGATCCACCAGAGATGGCCGCACAGCGCCCCCTGCTGGTCCCAGGGCCAACCTCTCCTCCTCTCGCTCTGGTCCACAATCTCACGGTCACCTGTGTCCCTGACCCCTGCGTTTCCCACACGTGACTCCTCCTTACGGGGCACGAGGCAGGTGTGGTCCTGGTGTAGCCTCACTGATTCGGGTCCCTTCTCCGCGGGCGGCGGTCTAGCGGGAGGCACACGCGACATCCTGATCCAGGAGGGCATGGGAACAGCTGCGGAGCTGAGGACTGGACTCAGAGAACAGGGAGCACAGCGGATCTGCCCACACGGGGGCTCAGAGGAGGCGGGCTGGCCCTGGTGCTGTGAGCAGGAGCTCCAGGGGACAAGGACGCTCACAGAGGAGGACACAGAAGGAGGGGACGCTGGTCCTTCCAGAGCAAGTCAGGGGGAAGACTGCACACACCCTGGGGCGCAGGGCTGGGGATGGAGCAGGGCCTGGGCACCCAGCAGGGACCCCCTCGGGCCGTCCTGCCACCTCCCCGTGTGCTGGGAGATCTTTAATCCCGGCGGTGCTGGTCCTCAGTGGGGCCAGATAGAGATCGAGCTCTGAGTAAAACTCTAGAACAGAACTTGGGACAGAGAGACCCAGCCAGGGGACATTTGGGGAGACTGGACGAACAGGACACAGAGGAAACAGGAAGGGGTGACATGGCATGTGGCCTAAGGAGGGACACAGGGCGGTGACCAGCTGACCCCAGGCCGTGGGACAGGAACGGGTGGTCCAGATGTCTGGTGGATGCCCGACTGACACAGGTGAGGGCAGCTGCAAGGGCAGGGGTTGGGACTAGGGGGTGGGTGTGTGTACATTTGTCACATTTAGACCCATGGTAGGAAAGCCTGGAAACATGTTAGTAAAACTCAGGACAAGGGACTCATGTCCTCCGCTAGAGGAAGGACACAGGGGCTGTAAGTCACCACCCGATGAGGGACTTAGCTGCATCATTCATTCATCCAGCCAGCCAGCCATTCATTCTCTAGAGGATATTTAAGGACTGTCTCCCGTGTACCAGACACAGGGGGAGGATGGGGATCGAGGGCAGGGGCCGGGTCCCTGGAGCGGGGGAGCCAGGCCAGCAGGGGTGAAGGTGATCCCGGAGGACACGCTAGGGTCTGAACCCCGGGTCCCCGCAAAGACCCTGAGATGTCAGAGTTTTAAGGAAGCACAGGTCAGAGACTCCAAGATCTCCCAATGTTCATGACGCCTGGAGTACATCACCCCACAGGACAGGCCACATCCCCGAGTGTCCGGGGACATATGATGGGGTTGCTTTGAACGCGCAGATCAACTGGGCAGGATTGATCGACACCTTCACAGTAAGAAGTCATCCAATCTATGAACACGGGTCTCCTTTCCCTTATCTTCATCTGCTTTAATTTTTCTCTGCAAAAAGAAAAATTGCAAGGGCCCCAGACCCTGTCAGGGGTCATGGGGGAGCGGCAGTGGGTGGGGACACATTTGCGTGACAGCCCCTCCTCTGTGGCGCCAGTGGGGAGGCATAAGAGAGGAGTGGGGCAGCCCAGCCCCAGCTCTGTGTCGTGAGCAGCGGCTGTGAGCACCATGGCCTGGACCCCTGCTCTCCTCATGCTCCTCTCTCTGCACAGGTAAGACAGGCCTCAGAGACCAGGGCCCATCCCAGCCTGAGGAACTCCTTCTGGCTCAGTTTGTAAGCTTCTCACCTACTCGGCTAATCCTAGTCCTAAGTATTTTATTCTTTTTGATGCCCTCATGAATGGCATTTTTTTAAATATCCTTTTGCTTCTTCATTTTTAGTAACTAGAAAACCAAGAAATTTTTGTAGGTCATTACTCCTCATAACACTGTGGAAGATCCTAGTTAGAGCCCGGTATGGGGTTGTGATAAGAGTTGTTTTTCCTGTTCGTAAGGCAGGTAACAAGCAATGGAGCAGGTGGGAATATTGAGGTGGGGTCTGCCGTCTGTAGACAGTAAGATGAGCCACACAAAAGGGCGGCCCTGGTGTGACCATCTAAGGAACTGCAATGGCCCAGCGCTGTCTCCACTAATTATGGGGGAAAGGAAAAGCATAAACACTTTTTCTTTTCAGTTTGAGAAAAACATCATGAATGTATCAAGAACTTATGTAGGGATTTGTGAAACATACATGGTAAGAGCACCCGTTATCCTCCGATTGGTGCCTGATGGTGATAAGTTGTGGAAACGCCACAAATCAGGAGCAGCCAATGTGACTTTTAGCTCCATTGTTATTCAGCACCGTTCAGCAAGTGTTAGACACCGCAATTAAACAGGAAGAATCAATGGTTGGATCACTGAGGGGCATGGAGAGGTAGTTGTTCCAAAAGACCCAAATGTGTGATGCACCTTAGATGCTCTGGTGTCAGTGCAAAAGTGTGCGAAGAAATCTCCCCTGTGAGCAAAGCACAGCCGTTCATCCTGAGGGCTGATGAGAGGGGGTCATAGCCCTAGAAACTCCTGGGAATTGGCAGATGACCCCAATGATGGAGGCTCAGGGTTCCCGAGTCAGAGTTCAGGTCGGAGATGACCTCCACCAACCCCCCACCTCAGCCCCTGAGCTTCAGGGCAAAGAATGCTGCATCCCCAGCGATGGGCACATGGCCTTTCTGTTTCCTTTGAGACCCTCTCCTAGGAATGGGCTGCTGAAGGGACTTTGAGGACAGAGGGGAAAGAGGAGGCTCCACACCCCAGCAGGCCCCCAGGGATGAACGTGGACCCAGGGCGGCAGCAGAAGCAGCAACAGAAGCTCCAGCCAGAGCCTGAGCAGGAAGCTGCTGGTGGCCCCACCTCCCGCAGATGAGAAAGGAGTCCTGGTCTCGGTTACTGCTCACCTGGAGCTCTGGGTGAGCCTGAGAGGCTGTCACAGGAAAGGCGGGAGAAGCAGCCTGGTATCAGCTCAGCCCAGTGATGGCTAAGGAGGCCAAATGCCAGACTTGGGACCAGGGAACTGATCAGGGACCACTGTCTGTCCCCCACTAGCATCAGAGATGAGGAGCTTGGGGCCCAATCCTGGGAGCTGCTGGTCCCAGGATACGTACTGGACAGTCTGATGTGTCCTGATTCGGACACAGCTGGACTCTGGCCCCTGGTTCTGACCTAACCCATCATGGACTCTGTCCCCAGGGCACCTTACCCTGGCATCCAGGGATTCTTCTCAATTTGAGAAAAATTGGACAGTTTTGCTGCCTAGGAAAAGCCTGGGCGGCAGAGGGGGCGGGGTACAGAATTAAGATGTAAACAGATTTTCTGGACCAAGTTCCCTGGTGTGGGTCTCAGACCCCAGTTTTAGGCCAAACAAACAACGGAAGCAGCTGACTTGGTAGAGGATGGCTCTGCCCCGGGAGCCCCAGTGCTGGGGGCAGCAGGTTTTTGTCTCACTTCCCCCCTGCCTTGCACACTGTGTGACCATCCAGGCTGTCATCATAAGACTGGCAGTAATAATCAGCCTCGTCCTCAGCCTGGAGCCCAGTGATGGTCAGGGAGCCCGAGTTGCCAGACTTGGAGCCAGAGAAGCGATCCAGGACCCCCGAGGGTCGTTTGCTATTGTCATAGATCAGGAGTCTGGGGGCCGTTCCTGGGACCTGCTGGTACCAGCTCACATAATTGCTCCCGATGTTGCTGCTGCTTCCAGTGCAAGAGATGGTGACCCTCTGGCCCAGGGCCCCAGACGCAGAGCGCGGCTGAGTCAGCACAGCCTGGGCCCAGGATCCTGCAAGTGGAAGAGACAGAGATGGTGATTCTGGGGTCCAGACACAAGAGCAGGAAGCAGGGCCCATGGTCTTCCCGGGGTCCCTTCCCCTGTCCCCGCATCCAGTCACCTGTGCAGTGAGCGACCAGGGTGAGGAGCAGAGGGGACCAGGCCATGGTGGACATGGTAACGGGGTCCTGCCTTCTGTGTCCCCACAGCTGAAGCAGAGCGTCCCCAAGTCTCTCCTTCCCCTCTTCATACTCTGAGAGAGGGAGGGTCCATTCATGCAAATGACACCCCCCCCACCAGCTCTCTGGTCCCTCCCTGGGCCCTGGGTCAGGTCCCCGTGCTGAGCGTGGCCAGGGGGTGGGCAGGGGCGGGGCTGGGTGGGGCCCAGGGGTGGGAGGTCACAGCAGGCAGCCCTGAGCAGAGACCACCAGGCAGTGCTGGGGGGCTGGTCCCAGCTCTCATCCCCCCCAGACCCTCAGGAATGGCCCCCGCGCGGCCCCTGGTGTCCAGGCCCTGAAACACACACCATGTGCCCTGGTGACCAGAGCCCCTCAGGGTCAGCTCCTGCCCCCTGCTCTGTGCACTGTCCCCTCCTTAGGGCCATTCCAGGTGCCCCTTCAGTGTCCCCCGTGACCTCAGAGCCATCTGTGGGCTCCCCTCAGACCCCTCAGGGTGAGTCTGTCCACAGCGCCCTTGGCTGCCCAGGGGTCAGGATTGAGGGGGCGTCTGTGACCCAAATTCCTCTTAGATCAGGATCAAGTGAGAGCAGTGCTGGCCCTGTGGAGGCCCGTCCCCTTCTGTGCAGGACAGCGGGTCCTCTCCTCTGTGTGACTTGTCCCTGGTGGCCAGAGCCCCCCTTCCTCTGTGTGTCCCCTCAGCCCTGAGGAGGAGGGAGCTCCTCTCTGTGGAGGGGGTGAGGGTGTGGGGAGAAGCCTGGGGGTGACCCTGAATTCCTAAACGCCTCAGTCTTTATTGTGTGTGAAGCTCTCCACACACGAGACCCACCGTCCCCCGTGTCGTGTCTTACGAAGTGACTCCCTCCTGGGAATCTCTCTTGCAGGCACACGTCACAGGCTGCAGTGAACAGGGCCTAGTGATGTTCTTGGCAGTTTTTATTGAGACTCTGAAGGGCTTTGAGCAGCATCTGTTCCCAGGGAGCCTGATACGTGGGGCTGTTAGGATCAACAGAGCCCCAATAGTGGGTTTGAAAAGACATAGTTAGGGGAGTGTTTGGTTGGAAGAGAACAGCCTGACTGAAGTTTGCCCAGCACTGCGTGTGTGTGTTACACAGATGGTGTGTGACTGTGAGATTTTCAATTTACCAAAATGCGTTGCCAAAATGTAAGGTCATTACTTAAAATTAGTGCAAGATTTTTTTTTTTTTTTTTTTTTTTTTGCTGTACGCGGGCCTCTCACTGCTGTGGTCTCTCCCATTGCGGAGCACAGGCTCCGGACGTGCAGGCTCAGCGGCCATGGCTCACGGGCCTAGCCGCTTCACGGCATGTGGGACTGGGGCATGAACCCATGTCCCCTCAATCGGCAGGCGGACTCAACCACTGCACCACCAGGGAAGCCCTAGTGCATGAATTTAACTGAAGGAAAACCTATGTTCTATTTTAATTTTGCATTGACAAGTGTAACATTTCTGAAATACTATATTTATCTTTGTAAATACTGTATTTTTATCAAGGACATTTTAATAAAATGACACAACAGGTATCCTATGAAATTTTATTTATTATCAAGTGAAAAAGGAGTCTGAGTGAGGCAGGGCCAGAACCAACCTCTCTCTGCCACTCATAACATCTCCACTGGAAGATTTTTTTTTTTTTTTTTTTTTTGGCTGCATTGGGTCTTCGTTGTTGGGTCTTCATTGCTGCGCGTGGGCTTTCTCTAGTTGTGGCGAGCGGGGGCTCGCATACTCTTCATTGCGGTGCACGGGCTTCTCATTGCGGTGGCTTCTCTTGTTGCGGAACATGGGCTCTAGGCACGTGGGCCTCAGTAGTTGTGGCCCGTGGGCTCAGTAGTTGTGGCTCACAGGCTCTAAAGCACAGGCTCAATAGTTGTGGCGCACGGGCTCAGTTGCTCCACGGCATGTGGGATCTACCAAGAACAGGACTCAAACCCGTGTCCCCTGCATTGGCAGGCAGATTCTCAACCACTGCACCACCAGGGAAGTCCCCACTTGGAGATTTTTATCTCTGAGCATGGAAGTTTTGTCTGTGAAAACATGAGCCGGCTGAGGTATCAGAGCAATGGGTCAGTCTCAGATTTGAGGGGAGGAAAAGCATATGACAGGGTCAGATTTGTCATTCTCAGGAAATTCAGAAGTGACAACAGAAGGTCACCCTGAGTTAGACGTGGTCCAGGCAGAGCAGCAGTGACTGTCTCAGGGGGAGGGCACAGGGGAGCTTTTAGTCTCACTTCCCTGTGGGTCTGGAGCACAGTGTAAGTACCAGTGTTGCCGTGAACTGTAGCACAGTAATAGTCAGCCTCGTCCTCGGGCTGCAGCGCAGAGATGAGCAGGAGCCCTGCATTGGCCGAGGCGTCTTTGGATCCAGAGAAGCGGCTGGGGACCCCAGAGCCCTGGTACTTATCAGAGTCTGACTTGAACCTCAGGAGGTACCGGGGAGAGCTCCCTGGCTTCTGCTGGTACCAGAATATGTGGTAGCCGCCAACAATGTACCCACTGCTCAGGGTGCAGGTGAGTCTGGCTGATGCTCCAGGAGATGCAGAGAGGGAGGGAGGCTGAGTCAGCACAGGCTGGGAGAGGCACCCTGCAGACACAGACACATCAGATGAGGAGAAGGGACAGGAGGCAGCTACTTGGGGACCTGAGCCAGAAGGAATTCCTCAGGCTGGGATGGGCCCTGGTCTCTGAGGCCTATCTTACCTGTGCAGAGAGAGAGGAACACGAGCAGGAGAGGAGTCCAGGCCATGGTGCTCACAGCCCCCTGGTCCCCACAGTGGGGCTGGGCTGCCCCAGGCCTCCTTTTCTCCCCTAGCCTCTGCCAGAGGAGGGGCTCCCATGCAAATGGGTGTCTACCCAGGGCCCACCCAGCCCCTCCATGAGCCCTGGTGCTGGAGCTCAACTCACAGCCCAGACTCAAGGGGATGGAGGGCAGCTTCCCCCTTGGGACCCCCTGAGAGGAAGCACCTGCTGAGACCACGCAGGTCCCTGCTCAGGGGCCTCTGCCAGCCAGAGAGGACACACTCCTGAGTCCTCAACAGGGAGCACAGGCCCCGCCCCCAGGCCCAGCTCCTGGAGTGAAAGGTCCTCCCTGAGCTGTGAGGGACCCCAGGGCAGTCCCACAGTGCCGCCAGCTGTAACATGTGGAAAATGGAAAAAATAACACATAACTGGTAGGAAAGAAGAGATTAAAATGCATGCTTTTCAATGAAGATACAACATTGGCTCTATTTGAGAAAATACGTAAATGCACTACTTTCCAAAGTAAAAAAATTATTATTGAATTTCTGCTGAAAGATATGATATATACATTTTATCGGGAATAGCTAAGAAATCTTCAGCAATCATATGGTTCCAATAGATTTGCTTTGTGTATTTATTACAAAACATTGAAAAAGATGTAAAATTTCTTAGTTCTTTTGAGATAGCAGTTAAAACAGTTATACATACAGCACATAAATTGAACACCAAAGAGGAACACTGACAAACCACTATCAATGAATATCGATCCAAATGTTCCAAAAAAAATGTCAACGAAGAAATATTTATACTGGTTTAGTAAATCGATACTGAATCTAAAAGTCATTTTTTCAAATATACAACTTGTGTTTTATATTAAGACATTAAAAAATAAATTTAACACCAATAATAGCAAATCCACATAAAATAGAATCAAACAACACATTTGTAATATGCTAATACACACTCTTCACACATGCTTAAGTGCACACAGGTTACCCTATGGGGCCTCTGCCCCCCACGCTTGTCTCACCGTCGGCACAGACGCTCCCAGGAGCCCCGCTCCTCCTTGGAGACACCTTCTGACTCCTCACCTTCTAACAGCCCCTCCCTGACCCAGACGTGGCAAAGACTCCACAGAGGACTCGGAGGAGGTGACCCGAATCTGAACCCTGTGGTCAGGGAGGCCACCAGGAGCTCCTGGGTGACCGGGCCTCACAGGAAGGAGGGTCCCACATCAGGGAGGACAGTTTGCCCAGCGCTCTGGAGCCCTGAGTCGTTTCCCCGCTGTCTGGCCCAGCCCCCTCTCTGGGACTCTGCACTGCGCCCCCTGCTGGCCACAGGCACCTCCTCCAGCCACTGGGATGTCCCAGCCCCCTTGCAGAGTGTCCCATTGTACAGCAGGCTTTGCTGATGTTACTCCCAGGAGAGTCGGGTGACGGGGCCTATCCAGGTCCACCCTGGAGACAGGAATACTCTCACCCTGGGACTCTCATCTCCATGGAAACTGACCATATTTCCAAAATGTGCATCTCTGTGAACTGTAGCCCCACAGCCCAGCCCTGCCTGCTGTGCAAACATGGCACGTGTGTATGAAAGGACAGTGACAGGGAGCAGCAGGCCACACACATGGTGACGTGTCCTGTGTGCAGGTTGGGTTGTGCTCAGGGGTGGGGACAAAGGAGCCTGAACAAAGCTGTAATGGGTCAGCAGGAATGTGAGGGAGGAGTCAGGTGATCCCCCTGCAGAGACAGGCAGAGCCCTCGGGCCAGAGGGCATGTGCCAAGGTCAGAAGAAGGGAGAGGGTGGCTCCTGGTGAGGTTGGTGAACGCTCACTCGAGGTCAGGGAAGTGGACCCTCTGAGCTTGTGACTCCAGCCCCTTCAAATGGAACAGAAAGAAAAGTCAGGGAAAAGATTATCCCCTTAATTAAACCCTGAAATCCTGTTTTTGCTAAGTCTTAGTGCATGTGAAGATGCATATGTTTATACAGCCTCAGCTCCATTCACTGACATTATTACTTTTAATAACCGGCATTGCACCCATCAGTGTCCGTGGGAACCCAGCCCGGTCTTGTCCGGGGACAGTAACTGGTGCTCTGTGAGCCCCACGTGCCCGGTGAAGCCGGGAGCTCAGGGCTCGGGGCTCACCGCCCACCTGGCAGGAAGCACCGGGTGAGGAGCCGGCCTGCCGTCCCAGGCTGAGCAGGAATAATCAGCCTTGGCCTCGGCCTGGAGCCCAGAGATGCTCAGGGAGGCCCCGCCGCCTGACCTGGAGCCCAAGAACCTCTCTGAGACCCTGGGCGCCGGTTGTGACTCCTGCGGGTCAGGACTTTGGGGACCCAGCCAGGTTGTTGCTGCACAAGCTGCCGCCTCGCTGCCAACGTTGTTGCTGTTTCCAGGGCAGGAGAGTGTGGCCATCTGTCCCGGGGACGCGGTCGCTGTGAGGGGACAGAGAGGAGGCTGAGAGCAGGACCCTGCTCCCTGTGCAGGAGAGAGGGCTGAGGAGCAGAGCTGGAGGTCCCCGGCCCACCCCCAGGTGACGTCGTCCCCCCATGTGGGGAGAGAGGAGGTGAGCAGGAGGGGCGCCCAGGTCACGGTGAAGCCTCAGACACGGAGCCCTCAGCGCTGGTGTAGGGACCGTGCTCCCCGAAGTCCCTTTCTATCCCCCAGATCCACATGCGGCAGAAGCACATCTGCACATAGACCTGCTGTCTGTGCTCCTGGCCTCCCTGCCCTGGGTGCCCACAGGGAGAAGGAGGGACCGGGGGGAGGTGCCTGGCTCCTGGTGACCCCTGGGTCCTGGCAGGTCAGCGTGGCCCAGTGAGCACACGGGTGGCCGGACCCCCTGGAGTCCTGAGCAGTTTTCCAGTGGGGAGGGGCCATCTCAGGATTGTCCCACACTGTCCCTCATGGCCTCAGAGCCCCTTTTTCAGTCCTGTTGTGTTGTGGTCGTTGCTTTTCTAAAGTACCGACAGGATCTCTTTCGACTCCCTTCCTTTGATAGGTGAGTTTAGGAAATTGGGGTGAGATGGGTGAGACTCAGAGTTTGACCCCTGGGAGGAAGCAGGAGGAAGAAGTGACCGGAACCCACAGTGACCTGTGAGCAGAAACCCTGCCCAGCACAGAGAGGACACACTGCTGAGTCCCCATCACACACACAGGCCCCAACGCCCCAGACCTGGGAGTTTGGGGGGGTCACACAGCAGGGGGTGCCCATTTTGCAGACACTGGGGAGACCAACAGCGCCCCCTGCTGCTCCTGGTCAAAGTCCAGCTCTGGGTGGAAGTGATGCTGGGGCCCTGGGCTGATGGCTGGTCACTGTCAGTCCATGAACATCCACGACCACGCCCTGTACTGTGAGCACAGTTAGTGATAGACACTAATTGTTCAGTTTCTCAGAAAGCAACACTTTCCAAAATGAAACACACACATATTTAAAAATCTACCAATGTAGTCATCAGTAAAATGTAAAAGAACTTTAATATTACATTACAAAATATAGAACTATATATAAAATTACATATAAAACTATGTCAGCTTTAATTAAGTGATGCTCAAAATCAGAAAAGCTAAAAAGTGTGGGAAAAGGCTATAAAAGAGCAGGAACTGTCTCTAGGACACCATCGAACATGGAATTTTTTTTTTTTTTTTTTGCTGTACGTGGGCCTCTCACTGTTGTGGCCTCCCCTGTTGCGGAGCACAGGCTCCGGACGCGCAGGCTCAGCGGCCATGGCTCACGGGCCCAGCCACTCCGCGGCATGTGGGATCTTCCCGGACCGGGGCACGAACCCGCGTCCCCTGTATCGGCAGGCGGACTCTCAACCACTGCGCCACCAGGGAAGCCCAGAACATGGAATTTTTTAAATGCTTATTTTCCATCATTAGCTTCACGATGCAATGACTGTAAGCATGTGGTATATGAACAGATCAGCAAATGTGCTATGGATCTAGCTGTTGCACAGATATGAAAAAATCATAAATATTAATTTATTCTGCATCATCAAATTAATGAAGTTGGGTATGTCTGTTAATTCTCTTTGGACAAGAATAGTCGTGCTGGTCATACTGGGGTCTCTCAGTGTCATTGTTGGTTGATATGATTGGGAGCTGGGCCCCCTCCCCATCTATAGTCAGAGAGGGGTCCCCTTGGAGAGATGGACACACCTGGGAGAGACTGGAGGAGGCATGTGGCCACGAACCACTGGACAGGAGATGGGGCCCCAGAGCCTCACTCCCCACGGGGTGCTGACCATTTCCACCCTCTCTCTGCCTCTCCTGCCTCTAAGGGCTGAGCCCTCTGAGCACATGAGTCGGTTTTGGTAGCACTTCCCCATTGGTTTATATCACTGTGCAATAGTAATTACCACCACCCACATAGAGATTACAGTAATAGTCAGCCTCGTCCTCAGGCTGGGCCCCTGTGATGGTGAGGGCGCCTTTGTTCCCAATGATGGATCCAGAGAAGCGACCAGGGACCCCAGAGGGGCGGCTGTTTGTGTTGTAGATAACAGTTTTGGGAGCCTGGCCTGGGGTCTGCTGGTACCAGGTGGGATAGTAACCAGTAGTGACTGACCCAGAGCTAAGGCCACAGGTGAGAGTGATCGTCCCTCCTGAAGACACTGACACTGACGGCTCCTGGACGGCAGTCTGAGAATCCACCCCTAAAACCGACAGGAGAGAGACAGGGCTTGTTATGGAGACAGTATCCCCTGAGGCCCTGCTTGTAGGTGCCCCCAAGGATGCAGAGTCCCAGCGCCTGACCTAAGCCATAAGTGAGGAGCCCGAGCAGAAGCGCTGTCCAGGCCATGGTGGGGACACTCCAAGGACACGGCCTCCTCAGCCTCCTGGGCTGGAGTGTGGGGGCCTTGGGCCTTTTCACACCTCCCAGACCTGTTAGGAGGAGGAGGGGCCTCATGCAAATCAGCTTCCTGCCTCTCTGTGACCAGCGTCACCTGATGTCCCCTGGGGGAGATCTTGAAGGAGGCAGATGCTGGGGCTTCACAGAGACCGGGGACAGCACAGGGATGAGACACTGAGTGATGAGCTTGACA